CTCATAATTTTTACTCATAAAGAGTAATACATGATTCGGAACTGCAATGTGTCTACTTTTTTTTGTGTGCACTCACAATATCAACAAAACGTTGTGCTTTTATAAAATAAAGAAAACAAACGCTTTCTGCCGTCTCAGGAGCGCTTCACAATGATGAACTTTAATGATGCTTTAAATTACTACTTTAAAACGAAATAATTCAAATCGAAAATAGAAAATCGAAAATAGAAACTCTTTCATTATGTAATCCGTGCATTTCTCTCAAAAGGCACATCCAATGAGATGGCGAGTCATTTTTTCATCACCGTAATTGATGGATGTCTAAAAGGAAAAGCCTAAAACAGGCCCGATTATAATTTGCATTTTATTTTTTAATTCCGTACAATTAAAAAATAAAACACAAATTATAATGGCATACATGTAAAACTTTGTCCTATAATTGTATAGCTGCTTATATTTTCTGATTTTTATGTTGCTCTGTTCTGAATACCTTAAAATGTAAAGGATTTGGTGCTTTAAAAACAGCTTTAAAAATTACTTTATTGCATTCCAGACGCTTTTAGCGTACTTTTCACTATACATTTTACGGGTAGCGTGAATATAAAATGTTGTGATGAATTCGTTGTATGTATTCCCATTTGTAAAATAGCCAACAAATTAATTGTTGTAGGCCAACCCGATCTCATGAAAGTGCGTATAGCACGATTTTCTGCTTCTATTTGGCGTAATATTTCTATGCAGAAATTTGGCATGCAAAAGCCATGGCTGGTTCAGTCGACAGAAATACGGGACACACAGGCCTATAATAACTGCTGAAATGTTTGCGGGGCAAATCTCAGGTCAGTCTGAGCGCTCATGGTACTCACAGTGCGTACAGCCGTACACATGCAGGCGCCACTGATACAGTAGATCTTACAATTCTTATGAGCGTGTGCGTGACCGTGATTCGTGCGCAAGCATGTCAGTGCGCATGGCATCACACCAGCAGTCTGTCGCTTTAGGAAAGATTCTCTAATGGTGTCAGAAATAAACTTTTATTAAGGAGTAATATTTAGATTTTTACATTTATTATATTTTTACATTGAGTTATTTTATTTTAATTTAAAAGAAATGCAGTATGTTGCACATTTATTTACAAATACCCATTTAACAGGTGCTGTTACAATACTGCAATACGAAGCTATAAGAATAATGAACCAGTTAAAGTACATTTGTAAATTATGCATAAATTATCCTCATATTACTAAGCCAATGATGTGATATTCTAATAACACATAACCACTCTGCTATATTTTTTAAATTGTTCAAATAAATTACATTTATCATTTTCTTGTTAGAGTGCATCATGCGATTGCATTCTTTTTAAAGGATTAAAAGGATTCACAGTTTTGCCTTTGAATTTGTACAAAATAAGGTCTCTTAGAAGGCAACACAATTATGCTACCTACGTTTGGTGGTGTGCTTACCATGCTTTACTAGAGTAGATCATCCAAACATGATAAGTCGTTATTTACTCGCCCACATGTTGTTCAATCCCATATAACTTTAATAATAAATCTTTAAAAATATTAAACAAAATGTATGAAATATTTACAATAGAATGTATATATATTTTATATTTACATTTTTTATAAATGTATATATTCCAATAATATTACATACTTAAACACGGTAATATTTATAAGCAGCATTTCTTATACTTTTCTTTTTTTATAGATCTTGTCTGAGTGCATTATGGGATTGTGTTCTCTGTGAAGGATGTGTAAGATTCTGCCTTTGAGTTTGGCCAAAGAACATCGAAAACACTCAAATGAAGCCTCAAATAGTTCATCTAAATATGAAAATATTTCCATTATTTACAGTGTTTTTTGTCATTTTTGAAGCCTAACGGATGTGAAAACTCTGAGCAGGTGTGTGGAAAAGAACCACAGAGATTCTTCTACTTTTAACATCATACAGGTTTGCAATGTGAATAAATAGTAAATAGTGTCAGAATTATTATTTATGGCTGAACTTCGCCTTTAAAACAGCCTATATAATCACAGATCAAAGTGTTATTTGTTTTAGTGAGCGGTGAAGCGTGGCACACGTGTGCGCAGTGCAAAAGAAGTTAGTGCTTTCCATGATTCTGCTTCATGTGTGATGCTGTGGCTTTATTGTCCCTCCCGTCTTGTTGATAACAGCTGCTGCGATGGAGATGAGCTCTAGTTATCTCCACAAATCAGACTGATGGTTGAGCGTCTTTCACAGTCTGTCTGCGATGCGTATGAGGACGGAGAGTTTGAGTTGGTTTATGGTTGTTTGCGCGCTCGTCCTCAGCTGCTGAACACATGCGGAGCCGTGCGTCTGGAACAGATGTGTTTAGTGGCAGCGTGAATGGATGAAATTTGCACATACCCGAGTATGAATTGCATCCAGATGCCCAGATATTTCTCTCACTGCTGTTCGGGTGAAAATTAGAGGTAAAATAAAACTCAAAGGTCTAAACTTGTGTCTCCCTCTTTCTCTTTGTCTGTCTTTCAGGCAGCTTTGGGAATAAAACACTGGCAAAAAAAAAAGTGATGACACCATGCATCATCATGGGATAAATTGAGATTTTTTTTTCTTGGATACGTTTCTCTTTTTCTCTGTTAGTATCTTCTGTTCTTTCTAGATTTCTGTCATTTAGAGCGTGTGAATCTGGTGGGAGATGGCTGGTTATTGGGGCTGGTGGTTTAAAATGATAATTGTTCAGAAATTGTTAATTTGAGCTTCAAATAAATGAGAATTCATTCTGGATTCTGCAACAGGGTTCTGTTTCATTGTAAAGCCTTTCTTAATATCGCAGGAAAGCCGCTGAAGTGCTAAAGGCTCTTTACACCACACTAATTTCAATCAGTGCACATGCATTCATTCCACTGGCACGTGAATCAGTTATCAGTGTTTTGAGTGTGTGTGATTCATGTGATTGACAGGCTTTATAAACATACTGTATATTCGCTGCTTTAATCTGCCGTCTGTGCTGAGTAAAACTGCTCGAAGCAGGCAAATTTAAACATAATATAATTGGCTCAAAAGGCTATAGTTTGCAATTTGTGATAGTTTGCAGCTTTCATTCATTGTAATAAAATGAACGTTAACTGAAATTTAAAAATGAAACTAAAAACTTAACTTCTTTCAGCTAGTTGCTAAGGTACGGAGCCCCTAAAGGGACATGGTGGTGGGAAAAAAAATTGGGGTGGGAGGAAATTTTTTTTGCGTTCCCTTGAGAAACTTTGCGTTCCCTCGCAAAGATATTTGCGTTCCCTCGCAAAACTTTTGCGTTCTCTCGCGAGAACGCAACGTTTCTTGAGGGAATGCAAAAGTTTTGCGAGAGAACGCAAAAAATCTGACAAATATTTTTTCTTCCCACCCCAAATTTTTTCACTCAATCTGATTTTTTTCCACCACCATGTCCCTTTAGGGGCTCCGTACTAAGGCAACATTTCTGATTTTTGTTTAGTTTAACTTAGTAAAATGTAGTAAAATAACTAAAATTCATATGCGCTCCATATGACTAGTAAGTCAAATCTCAAATAACTGCCCTGATGACTTGTGTTCTACCCGCTTGACTTGACTTAAAACTGAAAAAAAAAAATAATAATAAAAACATTTATAACTACAATATTTAAAACTACAATATATAATTATAATAACATTTTATTTCAACTTTTTATTTAATCCAAGTCTTTAACTAAAATTTAAATGAAAACTTCCAAAAAAATGGAAAATAAAAATAATTCAAAATATTAAGAAGGATTATTTTGATTAATTTAATTTAGTGCTGTCAATTGATTAAAAAAATTAATTTAATCACATTTTTTCTGAAATTAATCTGAATTAATAACGTTTTAAAATATACCTTTATATTGCAATAATTACACATTCAATCTTCAAAATTAATGTAGAAACAACATAAAGACAGTATATTTTTTATATTTGCATCTTTTTTATGACTGAAGGTGAGTATCACTGATGCTAATACTACTGATGTCTATGTGAAATTGTTTTTTTCCTAATATTAAAACATTGACTATCCATTTAACATTACATTATAATTAAGAGCTATCAATTTTAACATTTATTAGACTTTAAAAAATAACTTCTAATTTAAGTGAACTTAAAACAATCTTCACATAAACCCATTATAATAAAAGTCATGTTTGCCTGTGCCCTTCAGCAGAAATATACAGAAATACAGACAATTTACAAACACTAAATTCTAAATTAAATATAGATGAATCCTTAAAGCTACAAAAGTGATTGATTTCCTCTTTTTTTATTTTGTTCTTTGATGAACAGACGTCACAGCAGCTGGTTATGAGGTTATTTTGGCTTCTTTAAGAGCTGCTGCTGCTGGACATGACGCGGATCTGACACGCATCATATTTTCTCACAACTCTTTACCTTTTCTGACCCACTTCAGGTCATAAAGTCTCTATACTGAGCTGATGAGTTGAATCGGGTGTGTTAGATGAGGGAGACAGTGCTGCTGCTCCAGGACAGTTTTGAAACCCACTGCATTTCAGACACATGCTCACACAATGCATTAACAAATACTTGCATGCACAGTTTTGAGGCAGCTTTAATCGCCTTTTTGGTAACTTCATGACTCAACTGATGACAAAACGACATTGCATGCTCGTAGTTTCATTTGTGCTTTAATATGAAATGATACAGGCTACAGTGCGCTCCGACACATTTGTGTGTGCAGTAGAAGAGCACATGCTACGAGCACAGTATAACGGCTGACAGGGCAGGAAAATTGTTTTTTACTGACATATGGCCTGATAACATCTCATCTGACCGCAGTTCACTGTTGTTCTACTGAAGCTCCTCGTCACCTGTACCTTTTCTGCACTCGTTTGACTCGCGCCTGGTGCTGAGGTGAAGTTGTAGTGTGTGTGTCTAATAAGTGCCGTTTGATGAGGTCGTAAAGACGTTCTGCCTCTAAATAAACGCAATTCTTGTCAAGAAAAAAGAGACAGAAGCAACAGTTGTGAGTGGGGTGGCCGACCCTAGCTCCGCCCCTGCATTAATTGCATTCAATATTTTTAACGAGTTAAACTGAAAAAATTTATTGTATGCATTAACGCTGATTTTGACAGCACTAATTTAATTGTTTTTGTGCATGTTGGTTACAATGTGATCTTGTATATAATGTATTATTTTCTTAAAGTGTTAATAAAATAATGCACCTGACAAATATACTAAAATGACAAATAAACTATTCCGAATATTAAAATACTTAATTATTTATTTTTATAATATATAATGGAAAGTTCACTTTGTAATAATAATAATAATAAAACAACTTATAGTTGTTGTCGTTATTACTATTATTAAATATATTACTATTGTATATTTTGTTTTACTCTTGATGTGAATAGTTTGTAGTTAGTTTACATGTTTGCTGTGATAGTTATGCCATTTTATCTGTTGATTAATTATCAAACAAATAATAAAAATTAATTTGATTGAAATCAAGTGTAGCGTTAGTTCTGGCAGGTCACGTCAGTCAAGCTTGCATGGTCCACATCTACCTATCGGAATACTCCTATCACTACATCCTAATATAAGGTCCATTCAGTATCATTCAGCAGCTTATCGCTTTGCTCAGGAGCTAATTACCCTCCTCCATCCCCAGCTCCTCCTATCGTCCACAGTCAGGACTTGGCCTTCTGATATTCCTCATTGAATCAGACTCCTTTATTTTTAATTATGTTGTTACTTTAAATTGCCATTAAGAACATTAATAATATCTGCTACATTTATGTTGGTTCTGTTCTGTTTACCCTAACACCGTTGTCCTAACTACACGCGACGCAACGCTGCGACACGCGATAAAAGGTATCTTTTCCATGTTAATCTGAGATTTTGTCCTAACTATCCGCGACAGCGACACGCAAAATTTCTAATTTAGAAACGGTTTCTATTTCCGCGACGTTGCGGCTAGAACAACAACATATGACAGTAGATAATCTCAGGTGATTATGTGCTTTATTCAATGTTAAAAGTGTCTAATATGAGTTTAAATATAATTTTGTGTGACCTTATAGCCATACTGAAAGCAACAACAGATAGTTTACCTCAGATCTTGAAAATAAATTAAAGCAAAGATGTCCGTTTAAACTGTGAACTCACTGCGAACCAACGAGTGTATTCCATAACAAAGATGTTATCAGTCACTCGGTATGTACATTTAATGATGTTAAAAAGCTTTAATATTTATGAATTAGATTATAAAGGTATCCATTTCGTTGCGAGTGCAGTGCGCTTCCAGAGAGAGCCCGCCCACACACGCTTCTGATTGGCTGTGATATTTGATTGATTCTGTCGCTTCGCGTCTGGTGTGGACACCCAAATTGCTTGTCGCTGGAATCTTGTCGCATCACGTGTAGTTAGGACGCGATGTAAGGGGGTTTTCGCTGCTCTCCCTCCTCTTAGCCATGCTAAGCTGCATTAATGGGCAGGGAGTTTTTGCCCAGAACAGAACTATGCCGCCAATCCAAACCGTATGCTAACTGTCAATTACCTTTGACTCTAGTGGTCTTGACAGAACTACTTTTATGTTCATGCATTCCTTTCTTTGATTGTCTATGTGATCTTCACATCACATTTTATTTTTTTCCAGGCCAGAGACGTTGTCTGAAGTGTCATGAGAACTGTTTGAAATGCTTGAGAGACGCAGACAGATGCACGGCCTGTAAAGATGGCTTCAGGTAATACTAATAAACATCAAAACTGTTCAAGTTTCAACTGTTCAGCAATTGCACAAAACAACCTGATAAGAAAAACGTGCACAGCTTCATGTCCCGTGTTGAACTGCTGCTCTCAGAGTGTGGCACTCGAGATGCGGCCCAAGAATGTTTGAAAATCGTCACTGGATTGTTGCTTGATTGCAGCATAAATAAAACCAAATGTCTGCAGCTATTGAGCATTTAAAAGTCTCTTGCAGCCGATTGAGTTTAACAGGCAGAGCTGTGACCCCTCTTTGCACTCCATGCACAAAATTATGGAGTTCTGAATTCTCACGACATCGGTAACCTTACGCTGGTGCGGATGAAATAGCGTAAGAAGTCAGGCTTTGGGGTTTTGTGTGGGTTCAGGACATCTAGGGTACATCTGGTCATCTTTATGCATGCTGTCTTTGCTGTGGTTTAGACGAGCCGTACTGAGACAGACCGGGCTTTAGTTCTTGAAAGTCAGTCTGGTCTTGTGAAGGGTAAAATGCAGCACGCTTTGCGCCGTGACCTCTCTGGACGGCATTTAATCTGTCAGGGTTATATATTGTGATGCGCTGTTTAGAAGCGCAAATCGAGAGAAAATGCCTGGAGTCTTTTAGATTAATATTGTCTGCGCCACACTTGCTACACTTGCTCCACACTGTCAAATGATTATTGACACGCCTGTCATTTTCAACCACTGACCCACAATACCCCACTTCCATAACAAAACAGCTCTTTTAGCCAAGACTAGATCAAACCACCGTGAAGAAGACTGCAGAGTTGTTTTCTTGGACTGAGAATCACTGGTAACTCTGATTTGTTTGAAAATATTTTAATAATAATAATTTAGTTTGACACTAGTTTTAGTCTGTGCCACATTTAGAGCACTAAAAGCTTAAAGGAGCCGCACATACAGATTTTGGAAATAGAGCTGTCACAATTATGATATTATAGCAATTAATTGTTCAACAAAAAATAATAACAATTATTTATTTAATTGTCTATTTTGTACATGTTGGTTGCAATGTGAACTTGAAATATAATAAATTATGTCCTTTAAGGGATAATAATATGACACACACATTAAAGTGGCATAAATATGCTATTCTAAATATTAAAATACTCTATTTATTATTATAATATATAATTGAAAATAAAATAATTATTATTAACAATTTGTCACGGTGCTACTGTGAGGAAGTGCGGAGCGAGGAGACCAGGAGTACATAAATAAGGGGATTTTAATTATATCAAGTGAACCAGGAAAACACATGTAGCAAAGGCGGTAGACGTCAACAGACATTCACAATACCGGACGGCGAACTCAAAACAGGAAACCATTAAATACAGGACTAGAGGAGGGACACAATGAGGAACACCTGAAATCAATGACATAATGAACATTGGTAACACCTGGGACAAATAAACCTAATCAGGGAAACGGAACAGGAAGACCAAATAAGGGCAAAAGGAAACATAGGAAGCAAAACACACACAAAACACGGAACAGAGTCTGCCAATTATTATTACTAATATATATATATTTTTTTACTCTTGGTGTGAATAGTTTGTAGTTAGAGGCAATTATGACATTTTGATTGTTGATTATTTATCAAACAAATACTAACAATTGACTATTTGATTTACCTTTTTTTGTGCATGTTGGTACAGTGAGAACTTGGAAATAAGGCATCATTTGGTAAATAATGCACATCATAAAGTGACATAAATATACTATTCCAAATATTCAAATACTTTATTATTTATTTCTTTAACATAATGGAAAGTCCACTGTTGTTATATATAATAACAGGTAATAATAAGGTGCATAAAAGTCATGTAATTGTAGGCAGTCATATGTTAATGTGCTGATAATTTTGATATAATAACTGATGTTTTTGCTTTTCATGATGTTTGCTCTTTAAAGCTGTGGAAATATTGCTGTATGGGTTTATTCTTTTCTTCTTCTTCTCTTTTTCCTGATTAAAGTCTGGCAGGAATGACCTGCGTTCCAGAATGTGCCAATGGTACGTTTTTTAACCTGGAAGAAATGAAGTGCAGCCCCTGCCACATCTCCTGCTCCACATGCACAGGTCACCTTCTATTCTATTCTATTCTATTCTATTCTATTCTATTCTATTCCATCCTATCCTATCAATACTATCCTGTTCCATTCTGTTCTATTCTATTCTATTATATCCCACCCCATCCCAATCCTATCCTATTCTATCTCATCCCATCCCAATCCCACCCCACTCACAATCCTATCCTATCCCATCCCATCCCAATCCTATCCTATCCTATCCCAATCCCCATCCCAATCCCACCCCAATCCCTATCCTATCCCATCCCATCCCATCCCAATCCTATCCCAATCCCACCCCAATCCCATCCCAATCCTGTCCTGTCCTATCTTATCCTATCCCATCCCAATCCCATCCCAATCCCACCCTAATCCCTATCCTATCCGATTCCATCCCAATCCTATCCCAATCCCAATCCTGTCCTGTCCTGTCCTGTCCTGTCCTGTCCTGTCCTATCCTATCCTATCCTATCCTATCCCATCCCAATCCCACCCCAATCCCAATCCCCATTCCTATCCAATCCTATCCCATCCCATCCCATCCCAATCCCACCCCAATCCCAATCCTATCCTATCCCAGCCCATCTTTTCAGATTGACTAACTTGTATTTCAGACAATATTTTGCCTGTCCATGTTTTGTTGACATCTGTTGAAGAAACTTCCTGTGCACGGTAGTATACAGTAGTATCTTAAAGGGGTCACATGATGCGATTTCAAGTTTTCCTTTCTCTTTGTGCAATGCATTTTACGGAGGACGAGGGCTGTTTCTTGGGAGAGTAGCTTACAATACCAGTGTTCTGACAAATAATGCTGACTCACAGACTGTAAGTACGCTTTCATATTTACAGGATTTGCCACTGATGATTCAAACGCGAGTTTGACTGGTTGGCCAATCAGAGCACACCTCGCTTTTCGGGATTGGGAAACACATTTCATTACACCAAATACACCAAATAATATTATTTTTTAGCAACGTCATATGACCCCTTTAAAGCTCAATACTGATGAATTGATAATGTATTGTTTTTTTTATTTACATCAAAGTTTCTCAACTCTTGCCCTCAAGGTCTAGCGAAATTTAACAGCCCTGATCAAACTCACCTGAACAAGCTAATCAAGGTCGTCAGGATTACTAGAAAATAACAGGCTGGTAAACTGTAGCAGACCTTGAGGAACAAGTCGAGAAACCCCCATTTACATTGATATATCATCATAAGTCTCATTCAGAATCAGTACAGTACTCTCACAGGACATCACGGATGTGAGCAGACTCAAATAATACTCACAGAACGTGAAATGAACTGAATGCAGAAGCAGACGAATGAGATCAGATTATAGTTTAATGCGTTTAACTTGCTTACCAATCCGTTCACAGTGAGAAACTGAAGAGTAAAGTGTTTGTATTGTTTTGAGGACAGCAGGAGTGAATGAGTCCTGTATCACTCTTGCTGCTCAGCCATCGAACTTAATTAACTTTCTTCATTATGCCAAATCACCAGAGACGCCTGATAAGCCCTGAGTTGTTTGCTTTCCAAGTTCGCTGAAATGTGGAGAGCTGTTATAGACACAGCAGGGCAGAGTTAAATAAATTGACAGATTAACCTGAATGTATGTGTGTCTGTTTTGGGCTCTGTCTTAAAACCCTAGTGAGATGTCTAGATAGACAGCATTTTAAGACATAAAGTAGCAAATTTAAGTATTTTTCTTTGCCAAATACTTGCAGCATGGCATGCTTCATTTGTGGAGACGACAATCCCACAATGCACTGCAACATACTCCATCTAAACTGATAGATGGAAAAAGATACTCATTTATTTTATTCAGTAGTATTATTGATATACTATTATAGATTTTGGTATTATTTTGAATGAGATTTTATTTTTATATTTTCTGTTTTCACTTTAATTTAAGTTGACATTTTAGTCATTTTGTTGCGTTTTTGTCATAAAAAAATATATGTATTTTAGTTATTTTAGTACATCAAGTTGAGAAATGCTACTTTGGCAACTAGCTAGTAACATTTATTTCAGATAATGTTTTTTTCTGTAAGATTTTATGATGTTTTTGAAAGAAGTCTCTTTTGCTCACCAAGCTGCATTTATTTAATAAAAAATACAGCAAAAACAGCAATATTGTCAAATATTAACATTTAAAATAACTGCTTTCTGTTGTAATATATTGTAAAATGTAATTTATTCCTGTGATCAAAGCTGTATTTTCAGCATCATTACTCCAGTCTTCAGAGTCACATGATCTTCAGAAACCATTCTAATATACTGATTTGCTGCTCAAGAAACATTTATATTATTATCAATGTTGAAAACAGTTGTGCTGCCCAATATTTTTGTGGAAACCATGATACTTTTTTCCTCTGGATTCTTTAATGAATAGAAAGTTCAAAAGAACAGCTTTTATTTGAAATAGAATATTTTGTAACATCATAAATGTTTTTACTGTCTCTTTTGATCAACTTAATGCATCCTTGCTGAATAAAATAACCTTTTATTCACCTTTATAAGAGATCATACGGTTGACCTGCTGTGGGAGAAATTCTCTTGTAACAATGCTTTAATCTTAGAGATGGGCTGATTAGGCCAGAGAGCTGGAAGTAGACAAGAAAGTCTCCTTTCTATGATCTTCAGCTGACAGTACATTGTATCAGGTCATCGTATTCATACTGTTAACATCATGCCTCTGTCACCAGCCGTCTCAAACACACCTCAGGTGAAGATCCCAATGACTTGCAAATATAAATAACGGAGAACTGAGCTAACGGTGTGCTTGTGTTTGCAGGTCCGGGACTGGAGGAGTGCATTCAGTGTGCACCGGACTACTTACAGCAGGAGTGGCGGTGCGTCCGAACCTGTGCTCCCGGATACTACAGAGGAGAGGTGGCGGGATTCACACAGAGGATGTGCCGCAAGTGAGTCTCACATGACCACTGCACTGCTGCATTCAGATGCACACACACTACTGTGTGACCAGTTGGGCTCTTGCAGTGTGAATGTGCATTTAATGAAGTTTTGAAAGTGACAGCTGGAGCACACCTATGATGCTTTAAAATGCAAATGCATTTAATTAAACATTTTTCTTAGGTTTTTAAGATTAAAGATGTTTCATATTTAAAGGTCACATTACAGTTCTCATAAAAAATGTAAAACACAGTTTCAAGTACTAACTAAGATAGCCAAACTAACATCTTTCTGTCAGGTCATCCTCTTTGTCTTTGTTTCCAACTGTAATGTCATCATGGCTTTTCTCTTTTTTTTTTTGTACACGTTTGCGTTCTTAGCTTCTGATTATCTGTCTCATTGAAATTGTAGCCTTGGTAAAGGAATTGAGTGCTTGGTATTTACATTGAAATTCTTTCTTATTGCTCTCCGGCAGAAATGTGAGCACACACACACACACACACACACACATACACACAGTCACACACACACACCCGCTAATCACCTCTTTAACTCCACTCATTAGCACTGCTCTATGAGACAGCTGAACCATCCATCACATACACACACACAGTCACACACACACACAGTCTCACACACACACACAGTCACACACAAACACACACACACACACACACAGTGAGGTCTGATATTATGAATCACTTTGAAAATGTGTTTTGTTATTAACATAAGAGTTTGAGAAACTCTTGTCTCTCTTTTTTAATGACACTGGCACTCAAGCTGACATTATGAAAACCTGATGATCATATTCTCCACCATCATTTAGATGATACATAAAACTAACTTACTGTATTTATTTATTTATTTATTTAAGAATGAATTGTAATTGTGTATAAAAGTTATATAGAAATATAAAATAAATGTCATCTAAAATGTCATAATTTCTTTTTATATTTGTCTTATATAATTTCTAGATATATAATAATATTTTGTAATATATAAGAATTTTATATTTGTATGTTGTATACAAATTTTTAAAATATATAATATATATACACACATTTATTTTATATACTTATATGCACAATATATATTTATAGAATTCTTATATATTATTATTATATATTTTTATGTTCTATAAATGTATATATAAAATTACTGTTATATGTGTATATATACACAAGAATTTTATATATGTACAGTGGGTACGGAAAGTATTCAGACCCCCTTAAATTTTTCACTCTTTGTTATA